AAGAAGGAAGAGGAGAGAACGCAAGAGCCGTTGGATTAGGATGCACTTTCTTATTATAGCCATCCTACGGTCAGCAGTTACTCTCTCTCTTTTCTCTCTTCAAAAAAACAATCACACATTGACTTAGTAATAGAAATCTTAGAATCTTTTTAGAGGACAGGGGAGAAGTTGAGTTGAGAAGAGTAAGTTGCTTTAGGTGTCCAGTTTCTTGGGACGACGTCGGTGGCCGACAATGTTTTACCGGCGGATAAAGTGGTGATCTTGACGGAGAACGGTCCTCTGAGTGGTCCTCCGATGATGCACCAGTTAGCTCCCCATACATGCTTCATCTCTAACCACTCCCTTGATCCTGCCTGCACCATTAACATCCAATACACAAGAAAAAAACCCATCTTGAGTCTGTTTTTTTTTTCTTACTTTTGTAATAAAGACTTGAGTGTTGTGCAAGTGCCTTTCTAGTTGGTCAAATAAAGATTTCATAATTGTGCTTACTCCACTAAATTAAAGAATAAAGACTGACTTTTCCTTCTTTTTACTTACTATAAAAAAGTAGACTTTGGAAGTTGAAGTGACTCAGACTTAGTGGTAAGAAAAAATGGAATTTAAAGAAAGTGAGTGAGTTTTGGTTATAAAGTATAAAGAGAGTAGTGTACTTGACGAATATGCATGGAACCAATGTCTCCTTCTCCATCTTCAAACTCAACCAGTAGAGACAGCCAAAAATCAGTAGATCCTTCGTTCACGTGGAACGCTATGTTTTTCCCTCTATATTTGCATGCCGTCCTTTTTTTAATCATGCAAAATAAAAATATAACAGTGAGAAAGAGAGAGAGATATGAAATGGTCAACGGTAAAAAAAAAATGGAACGACCAATAAAAACCAAATCGCCGTTAAAGTCCCTCTTTTGTATTAATGAATTCACACCCATTGCCGTGACCAAAAAAAAAAAATCCACATTTAGGTTGCATGGAAACGGATATGGATACGTGGAAACGAAACGTTTGAAAACGTGGAAACGAGTTTTTAAAAAATTTAGGAAACGGATACGTTTTAAAAACGCGCATACACATACAAATATAAATATATATGAATCAATAACATCAAAAACAATATTTAAAACAATTTGAACAACACAAATTATATACATGAATATTAAATACCTTAACAAAAACAAAAAATATAATAATTTGTTGTTTTTTTAACCTATAACAAACACAATTTTTCATAATTTTGTTGTTTTTAACCTATAAAAGTACTAAATAGATCCCTACATTTCCAAACTATTTAATTATTATGTAAGAAACAATTTTTCATCGTATTTCCTAAACGAAATCGAACATTACCGTCGTATTTCCAATTTGAGATTTTTTAAAAACAAGTTTCCGCCATGTTTCCAAATCGGAATTAAAGTTTCAATCGAGTTTCTAAATTAAAATATTTTAGAAAACGAGTTTCCAAATTAAATTTATTCAAAAACGCGTTTCCATGGAATTTCCAAAACGTTTCCGAAACGGGACCTAGATTCACACCCATTGCAATATTTTTCTAGTTACCATTTATTACTAGAAAAAAAAAACTATTTTTTTAGTTGCTCGTGCACTGTCACGCGAGTTAGTTATTGAAATAGAATAAACATAAAACTATATATTAATGAGAATAAC